GAGAGGGAGAAGCAGGCTTCCCGCGGAACAGGGAGCCCGATGTGGGGCTCAATCCCAGGACCCTGGGATCATGACCTGGGCCGAAGGCAGACGCTTAACGACTGAGCCACCCAGGTGCCCTGCAATTAAAAATAAATTTATTTGATGAAGGAAACTTTAAAATATTCTGTGAACCCATGTGCAACTTTTGATCTTGGAATCATGAATTCAAGCCCCCACGTTGGGCCTAGAGATTACATTTTAAAAAATTAAAATAAACCCAAACATAAGGCAACTCCTTAAACAAGCAATCCCCTAAACTTCCTGATAAGAACCCCAAAAGATTTTTTATGCCAACTTGAATATTTATACTCTTAGGAATGTAGATGAACTAGTCCAGAGTTTCATAACCTCAGCACACAACATTTTGAATAAATTTTTGTTGTAGGGACTGTTCTGTGCATTGTAGGATGTTTAGCCGCATTGCTGGTCTCTAACCCCTAGATGCCAGCAGGACCCCTGTCCCTCCCTCCCCTGCCAGTGGAGACAACCAAAATGTGTTCAGATACTGGCATACGTCATACCTGGAGGGCTACGTAGCCCCCATTAAGAACAACTGATATAGTCAAATGCCTACTTGCAGTATTTAATTTATCCCTTTAGTTACATACTTAAATATTTTGGGCAGTAATTAATTATTTTATATATTTTGTTTTTTGCACTCTCAAATCTCATGAAACAAATTTATTTCAGTTCTTTATGTGCATCGTTGATGTCAGCATCTTTATTGTTCTTGTTCTTCTCTGTCACTTAACAGAGTTTTCCAGGTTACATCATTTTCCCTTCCATCTACATTGTGTAAGATCCAGCACCTGACACCCTAATAAGATGCCATCGTGGAAAAATTACTTCCCAAGACACAACTATCCATTATAGAACACTGGGACAGTTTTCTTTTTCACTGTTGTTCTGATCTCTAAAATCTAAACCACAGCTGGATCGCTCTAAGACAAACAACAATGCCCCCCTTATAAAAGATTGAAAACACTTACTGGTATAATGGATCCCATGGACCACCAGCAAGCCTCAACAATTATCAACACATTTTTCCACTGAGGTATGTCCCGTATTATTTTGAAGCAAATCCCAAATATATAATTTTATCTGTAAATATTTTGTATGTGTCTCTAAAAGATAAGAATTCTTTTTAAGATAACTGTGAGCAATTAACATTAATTCCTTAATATAATTGAGTATCTGATAAGTGTTGAAATTTCTGATTGTCTCACAATTTTTTTCTTTCTTTCCTTCTTCTTTCTTTCTTTCTTTCTTTCTTTCTTTTTCTTTCTTTCTTTCTTTCTTTCTTTCTTTCTTTCTTTCTTTCTTTCTTTCTTCCTTCCTTCCTTCCTTCCTTCCTTCCTTCCTTCCTTCCTT